ACAAGGTGACAAGACTGGAACAAACTGTATATATTGTGATTGGACAGAAGGATAGATAATGCACTAAGTAGGCTAATAGTTAATGGCTGTGACTAATTGTGTATAATGTGAATATATGGTCACTTCGACTCTGCGGCACTGCATTGTTTTAAATGTAAAAATAATAAAAAAATATTTTTTTTTAAAAAAATGCATTGATTATAATGCTTTACTGATGGTCCAGAGTAGTTTGTTAGCCACTCCAGTTGCAAGTGCATTCATTCTCTCTTGGTCATTGTGATTGAAAAGTGCTGTAAGCCATTATATTGAAAGACATAATAAGCAGAAAATTTCAGTCAAAGGTGATTTCATGATAATTTCAACGCTTTTAAGAGGACAGTTCTTATTTCTTCTTAGTGAATGTTGTAATAATCTTTCTTTGTCTATTTAATTATCTGTGAAGGCTAAACTTGTAGAACATCCAGATCTAGCCTTCCATCCTACCAAGGTGGGTAAAATGAGGACCCAAATTATTGGGGCCAATATGCTGACTCTGTAAATCGCTTAGAGAGAGTTGTAAAGCACGATAAAGCAGTATATCAAGTGCTATTGCTATTAATATGTTACATTATTTCATAGAATCAATCAACAGTTGCTTCTGACAGAATAGTGTTTATATTGTTATATAAGTTGATAAAAGATTATATTAATAGCTACATGAAATTTCACTTCATTTAAATTACATTTTGACTGGCAAGCAAGAAAGAATCCTTTATTTCAGATAATTATTTTTAATTATGTTGCTGAACTAATGATCTTCCATATTATTTCAGCTTCAAGCACATTTAATCCCAGGGCTAAATCTGAATGCCTTGGGTTTATTCCCACCTTCTTCTTCTGGGATACCACCTCCCACAGTGGGTGTTGCTCCAGCCACTGCGTCCTCTTCATATCCTCCATTTGGGGTAATTCTATCTCTTTGTACATTTTGGACAGTTGGTTGTAACTGTTCCCATTTATATATTGCATCATAGATATGTTGGTTTTTCAATTTAATGGAAATAACTTTTCAATAATATTAAAATCTTGAATTAGAATAGCACAACATGTGAAGAAAATGACAATTCACAGAATATTTAGAAAAGAGTATATATCTCAAAAGAAAGTATAACCAGCTATGTTTCAGAGAACCAGAAATGGAGAATATATATTGCACATTGAAGTTGTTTATTTAAAACAGTATGTTGAAGGCCTTTTCCTTTAATTGTGATGTGTATGTATGTGTTTGTGTGCGTGAAATCCAGCAAAGAGTTCCTGGAAAGTAGTATAAGGGGTGACATGTCATTATGGCAAGAATGTTATGGTTCATTGTATCTTGTAGAACAGGAGTTGTCAAACTCAAGGCCCGTGGGCTGGATCTGGCCCATGAGGCCGCCTTGGAAACAGCAAAGGACTGACACACAGTGCTCTGCCAGCCAAAATGGAGCTTAGGAGGTCATCATGAGGCCCTCCTGAACTCCATTTTCAGTTGCAGGAGGCCGTCACAGCCAAAAATGGAGCTCAGGAGCCTGTTGCCACAGGCATCCCCGACACAAGTGACATAAAGTTGGCCATGCCCATCCTAGCCACACCCCCTCTCCTCCAGCTCAAACCTAACCCTGATGGGAGCCCCCAATGGAATCGAGTTTGACATCCCTATTGTAGAAGGTATTTTTGTTTGGGATTTTCAATAAACATGATTTGTGTTAAAGAAAATACAAGAAGTGTCTTATGCTGAAAAAGATGAGTTATCTAGTTCATGTGGTCATCTATAGTCTTCCCGAATCTGATTCAAGATTCATAAACTTTAGTTTCCAGAATTTTCTAGTCAGGACAGCCATTACTTAAAATGACTAACTTACTTGATCTCTGGCTGCCCTAAATGTCATGCATGAAAAACCAAGCCCACATGTGATTTATTGCTTAAACCAATGCATAGGAATCTTCTCAACCAACAATCAGTAGTGGTTAATGTTAGATAATGGTTAATCACTATCAAGGGAAGTTGGACTTTGTAGTTACATAATAACTCAAAACTTTTTATTCCTTCTCCTAGTTCTGCCATTTTCTCTCCTACGGTTACAGAGGCCAGGTACTGATCTAATGTAAAGATTAAATCATTGAAGTATTTGTTAGAGACAAAAAGTGTATTTGTGACACTTTCTTTTCATTTTCATTTGTTTATATAAATTGTGTTTCAGTGAAGTATTTTTAAGGATAGTTAATTCTATTGTTAGTCTTTCAATAGTTTTTCTAAAACAGTTTTGTTGATTGCAAAGGTTGACTATTTGTTCCTCTTTGACATAAAGAAATGCAACATACGTATTAAAAAGATAATAATTAAGTGTGATGTATTTAATCTTAATAGTGGTAGAAAATTTGCAGCTGTTTATTTTAATATAGATGAACAAGTTGATCCATTTGAAAAACTTGTAAAATGATAAAACAAACATTTAAGTATACAAAAATGACTTAATTAAATTTTATAATAAAAATAAAACTAGACTTGATTATAAAGTAAAACCCTTACCCCTGAATATATTTCCTTGCAAAAAGAATTACAGTTGGTTTTAAATAAACCAAATTAAGATGTTCTTTAGGTTTTCTTATATCCATTAATAATATTTGAAAAATGGGGTATATGGGCTTTTTAAAAAGGAATGTGCTAGCATTATGTAAACAATAATATTACATGCAGCAAGATCTCTTGAAAATGTTAAAATTCAATATGGAATTTGCAATCTGTATCATTGAAATTCTTAGTGGCTTTTAATTCCTTTAAAAAGTGTTCTTATAAATCACATAGAATTAATAGAGAGTTTAATGTGGCTCTGCTGCTGATGAATTATGTGTGTGTGAGTATGTATGTATTTATGTGTTTTAATATTATTGTGTTTAGCATGTTTACTATATTTATGCCTTTTAAAAAAAACTGTTTCTGCCCAGAGTGACATCTTGTGAAATGGACAGCCATATAAATATATTAATCAATTACAACTGTTCTGTCCTTTATAAAAATTGTATTTAAAAAACATGAAACATGTGAAAGACATTAGCAAAAACTGATAAAAATTCTCTATTGAAAAGGCTGCAGCTATTTTAAATATTTTTACTGCATATATTCTGAATTTACTGCTTACCCTTCATTTTAAACCACTGCTTTTTTGAAGTTAATGATTTGTATGTTTATCTATGTAATTATCTTTCTCCGTTATGTCTTTTATTTAAATTGTATGTTTAATTACATTTTTAAACCTCATATTTATAGGTATAATCTTGGCTTAACAGTAATTTAGCCTTGTGGTTGTTCATAGCCCGCCTGTGTTTTCTTTGCTTTTGCATTCCAGCAACAACCAGAATCTGAGACAGTTCATCTGTTCATACCAGCCTTAGCAGTGGGGGCCATTATTGGCAAGCAAGGGCAGCACATCAAGCAACTTTCTCGCTTTGCAGGTGCTTCTATTAAGGTAACATAAGTTATTTATACCACAGTCTTCTTGGCTCTTCAGAGCAAGTTTTTACAGGCCCTGTTCTGTGGCTACCTTAGACTCCATGCCTTGCATATCAAGCAGTAACTGGTACTTCCTGTTTCTAGAATGGGTATTCCTGGCTCATACAGAGACAAGATAATTACCAAGAATATTTTTAAAAGTTATTTGAGAGGTGAAATAGAAGTTGTAAAAAAAACACCAAATCCTCTTGGTGGTCGAGACTTTTAGATAATTGTTCTTAGCATGAAACCTTTAGGCCATGTTTTAGAAGTGCAGCTTAATTGTTCCCACACAACTTTTAATGTTTAATTCAAAACAAGAGAAGCAAATGGTTTACAATTTGAGAGGTCCACTTGCCTAGACTTCAGTTCATTTCACAAAGTTCAAGTTCAGGCATGTCTGCTGAATAAAGAAGAGCTAGTACACCAACAACATAGCAGAAAGTTTTCAGGAGATAGAAGGTACTCTAATATTACTATTTTTCTGCACAATCAGCTAATCAAATAATTCCAGTAATTTTTAGTTACCAAAATGGTAGGTCTGATAGCAGGATGTATATATAAATAAAAATATGTTTGATTCAAATGAAAGAAGTACCTTAGAAAGACTTACTAACAGCTGTACTGTAAAAATCCGTAAACAGATTTTAAAAATAATTTTTATTAAAGAAATTTTATGAATAAAAACAATGCAGATTTTGAAAGACAAAAGTAAAGAGGAAGTATGTGAAAAAATACAAAGAAATATAAAAAAGAAAGAAAAGAAATAGCTTCTGGTCTTCTTAACAACAGTTGTAAGTAGATTTATATTTTATCCCCCCTCTCTTAACAGTACAACATAATTTCCTTTTATCCCATAGTCAATCCTTTCTAACCAAACTTATAAATCTTTTTTTTTCTTTGTCCAGCAAAACAGTTAGTAAGGCATTTCCAATCATTAATAAATGTATTTATTGACCTTTCTCTAATCCGGTTGTTGGCAACCTACAATTCTGGAGCCGCACATGGCACTTTCATCCCTCTGCTGCAGCTACCTGTTGCTGCAGAGGGATGAAAAATCTGTTGCCTTGTCACGGCAGTGTCCATGGCTGGAGCCTTGGTGCAGGAGTGAAGAACCCCTGTATTTGCCTTTGCACAGCAATAGGATTCTGCCTTCGTCGTGGTACATTTGCTTTGCTGACAGCAAAGAGAGTTAGTAGAGAATGGCAGGGGCAGATTTGCGGGGTAGGGATCATCCCCCAAGCTTGGCCTTCCTCCCCCCTCATCGGGGCCAAGAAAAAGAAGGGGGCAGCATGGGGAAACACTCCCATCCCCCTGGCCCAGCACCTAGCACAAAAGCCTGAGAGGGAGGGGAATGGCCTGGAAGAAGTGCCCCTATTGGTGAGTTGGATGATGAAGAGGCCTGGCCTCGCTCTCACAGCAGGACACTGGCACCTCCAGACATGAGCTGTTGTCTTTGAAGCTTAGCAGCGATTGCTGGGGCCATGGGGGAGGGGGGGAGCAGAGGCATCAGAGCCTCTGCCAGGCTTGGAGGAGCACAGAGAGTTGCGGGCTGAGTACCAGAGGGTGAAAAGGCGCACTCCAACATCAGCCCAACAGTGTTTCCAGCACGTGCTCCTCTGTCCTGAAGTGGAATTGAGTGAGGTGTAGGGGGAACAGAGCAGGAGGAAGGGTAGGGGGCTTCTTTGAGGAGAAGCCTGGCTGGCTTTCCTTTTAGCATGCGGCAGGGACAAGACCCAATAAAAATCCAATTTTCCCCATAAATGGTGAAAATAAAGGCCCGTCAGCCACAAACAGCACCTGCTGTTATTTTTGAGGAAGGAAGGAAGGTGAAATCAGAAGAGGGGAGAAGGAAGGAAGTTGAAATCAGGAGGAGGGAAGGATGATGTGATGATCCTCCAGCGGCTACTGCGCTACATTCCCATCATTCCTGAGTTGTGCTGTTAAAGAAATCCAGTGCCACCAGGGAGAAATCAAGTTGTGAAAGAGTGATTGAAATTCCTCACATTGAAACTAACAATAGGTCATAATGGAAGTATGGATTCTCCCTGATGCAGTTTCTTGTTATGTGTCCTATGATTTAAATTTCAGATAAATGTATTTCTCTGTTGTCCTCTTAATTCAGCAAGGTATCCCAGCGCACTGCCAGGGTTGAAGGGGAACCTGCAGAAAATGCCCCAGGAGCTAGTCTTATCTCTGTACCCATCAAGCATTCCATGTCCTGCTTTCCCTTCCCCTTCCCCATGCCCATTTGTTCTTTTATCACACTTTTCTTTCCTTTGATATAACAGATAAATGTCTTTGAACTATCTGAGAGTTAAACTTTAGCTGTACTTGAAATCTTAATTTCTTCAGAGGGGCTCAAATAGTGGAAAGGAGAGAGAGAGAGAAAGAGACAGATAGAAAGGCGGGGCCGGGCGGGGTAAATAATTTCACATCCGATTCTCTGTCCTAATGACCAGCTGGGTAGGCATGGCTGCGGGGGGGGGGGGATCAAGTGATGGGATGGAAGTGAGTGATTTCAAGTTGGCCATGCCCACCCAGGTTTTGTGACTCCTGGTGTTTTCTTTTCTGGAGAAAATGGATCCGAATGGTCCTTTGAGTCCTTTAAGGTTGCTGACACTTGCTCTAATCAAACAAGTCAGTTTTGACATTTCTGCTAATTCTGTCATCCTCACCAGCCATTCTTCTGTTATTTCAGAATCTTTCAATATTTGTGAATAATCTTGCAGCAGATCATATTAAAAAAGCAATCTTCCACAACTCTTTTCTAACTATTTGTTAGTCTCAGCAAGAGGAGTTCTGACTTCAACTGAATATTTGTTTTTAAAATTCTTTGCATCGCAATATCTATTTTAACCTATTTTTTTGGATTTTTTGCAAGTCATAATAGGCATGATAAAAGTGGAGAGCACTTCTTCCAAGCCTATCAAAATGGTATCTTTTTCCATTTGAGCTTGTTAGTATAAAAATATTATTTTTGTTTGTTCATTTTTCTGATCAGGATTTCTTTAAGCACAATCACATTATTAATCTTGTGTTTGATAGTAAAATGCTGCTGCTACTACTAGTCTTCTTTCTGACAAAGTACACAATAATACCCCTTGGTACATTTCTTAATTTTGAAAATCACATATTGATTTTATATACTTGTCATTTCTGCCTCCTTATATCATCTTCATCCCATCCCCAAAAGCTGGGATCAAAGATCAAACAATGTTTTCTCTGGTGTATTTTCCAGGATCTTCTGGAACTGCTCTTAAGTCTGAAGCAATTTCCCCCCCAAACCTGTTTAGGATTTCTATTTTACTTACTAAAATGTCTACTTTCTCATCAACTTAATATATTCTATAAATTCTTTCATATTTTTATAACTTCTATTTTCAGCCTTTTTTTCATCTTTATAAACATTTCTGTTCTATCTTCAAAAGCCAGTTCATTTTAATACTTGTTACAGATTCAGATATCTATTTCCTTATCTCTTCAAACATCTTTTCTAATATTTCTGCAGTAATTCCTTTTCTACAAATGCCTCATCAAGTCTTGCAGCTTTTCTGATGGTTGCTATTATTTTAATTATACTATAAATACTATGTTTATAATGTAAAAGTAAATAAGAGTATAAAGATAAAACAAAATGTCTGCTTTTTTCCTGCTTTCACCTTTTCTATACTCATAAGACTTTAATCCAATCTGTCTTTCCATAGATTTAATGACATAGTTGATCTCAGGTTATACACATTGCCTTGTTTTATAAATTCTGACTATTGTCTTTTTCCTTTGATGTTGAAGAATCAACATTCCCATGAAGGTTTGTTTGTTTCTTTAATTCCAAGTAGCACCAAAGTACTTTTTCCAAAATATCAATCTTTCAAATTTGTGCAGTCCTGTTTATCTTTTATAACTTTCTTAGTCAAAATCTTGTTCTTCTTTGCTGTTGTTTTAAAGTCTTTTCAAAGTATTATTTCATTTTTGTTTTCTATAATTCAAAAAGTTCTGAGAGTCTTTGTCTGACTGTATTCAAAGGCTTCAATTGATTGTATTCAAAACTGAAGGTTTCATAGTTTGCTATCCCCTAAAAGGCTGTGGCTTGTGCATAGGGAAGAACACTGTTTCTTCCTTGAACTTCTGCCACTCTACTCTCAAGGAAACCTTCCATTTCCTCATGAGAAGCAGCAGTTCAGGGGGCAGGTGGATATTTTTTCTTTATCTGGAAAGACTACCAGCCATAAATCACTGCTGGCTACTGCTTGCTGCCACAAACACCTCTCTGCTTTTTGGAAACATCTAGTCTGCCATTGAATCTTACCTGGATGCCCACCCTCATGAAAAGCTTTTTAACCAATGTTTTTAGAATTAAAATAAGTGTGTTTTTTAAAAAGTGATTTCATTCCCCTTTAAAGCAACAAGATAATAAAACTTTAGCAGGATACAATGCACTTTCCACAACAGTTTTGAATGCCTAAAAAAAATACCATATTAGCTGAGATTGTGCCCCCATGGACAAAGGGCCATTGAAACTATACCTCATGTCCTGCCATATTGCATCTCCTATAAGGACTCATGGATTCAATTTATAACACCTCACATAATAAAATATTCGGGAACTACTGATCTCCCTTACATACAACTACAGTTGTCAAATCAATACAAATGTCTGTATTTTTTTTTTTTAGTATTGTTGTTAATACTTTCATTTGTAGTGCTGATCAGTGACCATAATAAACATTGATTGGATGTTTTCATTAGAGCCCAGGGAACAGAGAAGGGTCTAATAATCTCTTATATATCACATTCCAGATAGCACCTCCTGAAGGACCAGATGCCAAACTGAGAATGGTGATAATTACTGGACCACCCGAGGCACAATTCAAGGTAACATTTTAAAGTTTCCAATGCTTTTTGTTTGTAGAGCAAAGATGTGCAAATAATAGGTCACCTTCTTTTACAGTCCTCAGTACCCTCTCAATTATCAACCTAACATTTGTGACAAATCACCAAGAATGTGATTTCATTTCATTTCTAGGTCATGGAAAGGAAAAGTTTCTGGCCATGAGTATGGCTCTCAACTGCTGAGAAGTTTTCCTATATTTGGGATAGAGAACAATGGGTGCCTATAACTATAGCATTTTGGATACCCAAAAAAGTTGTGCACTGCTACATTTCTGAATACAGTTTCAACATTCTGTTTGAATTAGATAATCAGACACTACTAAGCTGCTTATAAGTTCAAAAGTGCTGCACAGTAAACTAAAATTTCCATTGTGATTTTTAAAGGTATAAATGTTAAGGATAATTGGAGTACTTAATTCTGTTCAAAGATGACACCAGTGACAAAATTGCACAATTTGACTATTAAATAAAGATGATCTAAAGTCTTTAATACAATAGTAAAATACGAAGGAGTTTTCTATATTTCAAACACTTGCCTTAGGCAAACCATGGTTAAGAATTAATTAAAGTGTTGGATATGTTATGCATGAAGCAAAATGTTCCCATTTCTTCACTTATAGCCAACTTGTAGTAATATTTATTATTGGACATTCTTTTGTTGCAACATTCAAATCGGAGATTATATCTTCCAAAAAGGTGATTTTAAAAAATCTTGAGAGGCATATTCTATTCATCACTTGTTCCCTTCCCCACTGTCCCTTTAATGAGGGGTGGCAGGTGGGAGGGGAGAAGCGAGGCGTGCCTCTTACCTTTCTAGCTCCATCGCATTCCTTGCCCTTTTGCCCATTGAATCCCCTTGTAAAAAAAACCCTCATGAGTTCAACTTGTGAGGTTTTTTTTTTTTACAAGGGGATTTAATGGGCGAAAGGGCGAGGAACGCGACAGAGCTGGAAAGGTAAGTGGTGCACCTTGTGGCCCTACACCACCCACCTCGCCCCAATGCTAAAGGCAGCCTTCCTGGTTCCTTTCCCCGCCATCCCTTTAATGAGGGATGGCAGATGGAGGGGGGAGAAGCGAGGCGCAGCTCTTAACCTTTCCAGCTCCGTTACGTTCCTTGCCCCTTCGCCCATTGAATCCCCTTGTAAAAAAACCTCATGAGTTCAAATCGCAAGTTTTTTTTTTACAAGGGGATTCAATGGGTGAAAGGGCGAGGAATGCAGCGGAGCTGTCAGTTTCTGGTAGCGCTAGGATGCGTGCCTCCCTTCTCCCCTCCCCACCTGCCACCCCTCGCTAAAGGGACGGCAGGGAAGGGAACCAGGTAGGCTGCCTTTATCATTGGGGCGAGGTGGGTGGTGTTGGGCATGAGGCGCGCATCTTACCTTTTCAGCTCTGTCGTGTTCTTCGCCCTTTCGCCCATTGAATCCCCTTGTAAAAAAAACCTTGCAAGTTGAACTCGTGAGGTTTTTTTTACAAGGTGATTCAATGGACGAAAGGACAAGGAACTCGATGGAGTTGGAAAGGTAAGATGCACGCCTCGCTTCTCCCCTCCCCACCTGCTACCCCTTGCTAAAGGGACGGCGGGGAAGGGAACCAGGCAAACTGCCTTTACCATTGGGGTGGGCGGTATTTTTTTGTGTGAGAAGGAACAGGCGGGAGGGCGTGATCGCATTGCTGGCCTGCCGCTGCTTTTGCAGCAGGCTCTTTTTTGAGTGGGAGGGAAGGGCGGGGGCTGGAAGCACTTTGCTTCGCCTGCTGCTGTTTTTGCAGCAAGCCCTCTTTTTGCCCCTCAAGCTGTACCAGTAGGTAGTACAGTGGTAACGGCAGGGACCGGTTGCGCATGCGCTTAAATAGTTGGGGGCAGTCTTATTTTCAGGGAAGAGCTTATTATGGCACATGCTCTGAAAAGCCCGATTGGGCTTATTAGCAGGGCATGTCTTATTTTCGGGAAAACACGGTAGTATTTAGTAATATTGACTTAATTTTATTTAATTTTTTTACTTAAAAGGCCCAAGGGAGAATCTATGGGAAACTTAAGGAAGAAAATTTCTTTGGACCTAAAGAAGAAGTTAAACTTGAAGCTCATATAAAAGTGCCATCTCATGCTGCTGGTAGAGTTATTGGCAAAGGTGGCAAAACGGCAAGTATTAGAATGAAAAAAAATATTTTGCCAGATTATTTTATAAAATAAAATTTGATTTGAGGCCAAGGAACAGACTTCCTCTTCCAAAGCTAGCTAGCAAGGCTGCTTGCGTGTTTGTGTACTTATTATTTTCTAGCTGCCATGTATTTCCTGTTCAACTTTATAGATTCTGGATGAAAATTTCAATTAAAATACCATAATAGTAGTAGTAGTCGTAGTAGTAATATAAATATTATATTGATAATGATTAATAATAATGTATTTGTGACACATTTTTAAATGTTCAGTTGACTGAGTTTCACGTTTAATGAATAAAAGAATAATAATATAAAAATAAATAATAATACAGAAACCTATATGAAGATTAAAAAGAATCCACACCATAAATTATAATGTACAAATGTTCTCTTAAACTGCCAGATTGTTGTGGTTCTGTGGAAAAGTAGGATTGTGTGGAGTACAGGTAGTACTCAACTTACAACAATTCATTTAGTGACAGTTTAAGATTACGCCACTGAAAAATATGATGGCCGCTTTTACACTTAAGACATTTGTAGCATTCCCATGATCATATCAAAATTCAGATGCTTGACAACTGGTTTGTATTTATGATCATTGTAGCATCCTGGGATCATGTGATCCCCTTTTGCAATCTTCTGACAAACAAAGTCAATGGGGGAAGCCATATTCACTTAACAACTGTGTTATTAATTTAACAATGGCAGTGATTCACTTAGCAAATTTGGGAAGAAAAGTTGTAAAATGGGTTAAAACTCACTTAACAAATTTCTCACTTAGCAACATAAATTCTGGGCTCTGTTGTGGTTGTAAGTTGAGAACTACCTCTATAATTATTTCAGAGGTTAATATATTTTACTGGGATATGAGAAAGAAATTCAGAAAATGTTTCTTGGTCTACACCACACATCCACCTCTCCTTTTGAACTCTCGAGGAAAACACCTATGAATGCATTGCATAGAAAGTAATGATTGCCTCTATAGTAGGTGGTCCCATAAGCAGTCTGAACAAAAGCAATATAGGCATTCAGAAATAATAGTAATCAACTTCAATTGTAGCCAGAAGCAAACTGGTAGGTAGTGCAGTTCCTATAATACTGGTGTAGCAATATTCTGCCTATCTACAAACTGCTGCAATTGTACAGTGATTGTTAGAAATTACAATAGCACTGAGTGAGTAGTGATTACAACTGGTCCTTGAAGTTCCAGGTATCCCAGCAACCCTGTAGATTATGATCTGGGCACTTGACAATTGTCTCCCACTTAAAAGAAAAAATGCATTATCCCATGTCACGTGATTGTGATTTGCAATTTTTCCTGCTGGCATTCTGCAAACAGAATCAAGAGGAAAGCTAGCAGAGAAGGTCATAAATTGCTTGGATAAGCCCCTCTCATCTGCACATCCATCCCAAGTCGCATTTCCACTTCTACCTGGCCACTTGAACACCCTCTCTCTCTGGGCAGCAGTCATTGCAAACCTGCTACAGCTGCACTTACACCATGCCTACCTGGCCATTTCCTTGCTTTCTCTCACCCAGCAGCCACCATTCCAAGCTCCACTATGCTGATGCCACTCTGCCACACCTTCTCTGCCACTCATAAAATCTCTCTCACCCCGCAGCAGCTAGCACAAGCTCTTCTGCACTCTCATCATGTCTTTCCAACCACATCCACATACTCTGTTGCCCCCTCTTTCTCACCTAGCAGGAGCCACTTTCCTTCCTGCTTGCAAGCCATCTCGGACTTGAAACTTCCTGATGGCTTTTGCACTGACTTTGGTTGTTGGAAGCTGGGAGGAAGTTGTGAGGAATGTTTACTTCACAATGGCAACAAAGACTGTAAGGATTGCTGTTGCTAAGCAGAGACATGTGATGTCATGCTTCATGACCACAATTGTCAGATCTGGCCCAGCTTGGTCCTTTAGGAAAGAAACATTCTCGACTCCATTTATAGCAAAAAGATTACTTTTACTAAAAGCCAAGTGATTAAATTAAGCAAAGCCAGAACGTGAGTTTGCGCAGGAAGATTCCCTAGTTAACTTTCCCTTTTTCATCCCGCCCCCACCCTCCCTTATCTTCCATTCACATTCCAAGATGCTTTGGTTACTGCCCCTGCAACAGATTGATAGATGGGGAGGTGTTAGATTCCATTCCCAGGTCCATGGCCTTGAGATGTCTTTGGATGTATGAAGATTGCTTTTGGTTTCCCCATCTCCCTTTCTGTTTTCCTTTCGTCCCATAGCTTATAACAGGTTGGTATAATTATTGACCAAAATTTTAGAATTAATGACCAAAATTCTGGTCTCAATTGCCGCTGTAATCAAGGGGCTGCCTGTAATCCCCTACTGCAGCAGCTGATAAAGTACCGTAGGTTGAAGTAATCCCAACTTCAAAATAATAAAGAAGTGAATGGCTGTGACTAAAGCTTCCTGCTCTGAAAAGAGCTACTACAGGAATACCAGCCAAAGTTCCACGTACTGAAGGAGGCACAGTCCAGAAAGACCACATAAGTTACAGACGACCTCCTTCATATGGAATGTGGCCCCATCCAGAATGAGTGTAAAGTCATTTTTGGGATCTTCAGATGGACTAGGCCAGGGGTGTCAAACTGGCGGCCCATGGGCCGGATCTATCATGCACAAGCCACACCTACCCAGCTCCTCGAATGGGAAAAACTGTGAATGGTCACGTGACAGCAACATGATGCCATGAATTTAACACCCATGGACTAGGCAGATCTTCTCTGTTGCTATCTCTATTTGTGAACATCCTATACTGTAGTGGGATTTAATAAGCTTGTTCCCTTCTGACAATTCATAAAAGTGTTACAACAACACAATTGTTTTTACTTGATTTTTCATTCTTCTGGGAACCATTTATGGAATTTCAGTGATGGTATTATTCTGGTTTGTTTGTATGGTTCTTTTACTTTATTGTATGCTATCCAGAACGGACTCCAGAGGATGGTAGAGGACAGAAAGGCCTTGTCCATTGGGCTATGATGGGTCGGACACGACTTCCCAACTAACAACAACAAAATACTATCCAGAGTTTATATTGACTCACCTTTCTTGCAAACCTTTTTACTTAACATATTTTTACATATATTTTCTTGACTACACCCACATGTAGGTTTCAGTTGCAAGATTTGAAAACCAATACAATAATTTATTTATTTTTTTAAATAGGTAAATGAGCTTCAGAATTTAACAAGTGCAGAAGTTGTTGTTCCTCGTGATCAGACACCAGATGAAAATGATCAGGTGGTTGTGAAAATTACTGGTCATTTCTATGCATGCCAGGTTGGTGGAAGTTTCTGTCTGAAATAGAATTCTTGGATTTTTTCATTGTTTAATAATTGCAATCTCAAAGGCACATAGCATTTCCCACTGAATTTATCTGTTACAGGTAGTTCTTGACTTACAACCGCAATTGGGACCAGAATTTTGATCACTAAGTGATACAGTCATTATCCAAGTCATTACATCACTGGCCCCATATGACTGCACTCTAAAGTGCCCAAATTGCAATTACATGACTGGGGATCAATAATGCAATGGTTATAAGGATGGCTCATCATTTTTCCAAAGCCATGATAACTTCAAATTTTGGTTAAATAAATGGTCGTAAATTGAGGATTACCTATATACTAATCTTTGTATCTCCTTTTGAAGTACCTTTGAGAAAAGAGGTTTTATTTTAAGTTTTTTAAAGTAGTCACTTGTGTGTAAATGCCAATGGCTTACTATATGGGTTATTTTAAATCACAAAAATCTTTCTTACTCTCCCATTTTGTCTAGCACAGCTCACTTTGGCAATGTGGTGTTTTTAACTTGTCCCAAAAATGGGTTAAAGAATTGTAAACACAGATGTACAATGGGTTGTGCACTTAAAATTTACACAGTTCCAAACATTTGAGAAATGGGATAGCAGTTAGAGGAAAAAGGCATTAAATTTTCTAATGACAATTCCTCTCTGTCACATAGCTTGCCCAACGAAAAATTCAGGAAATACTGGCTCAGGTAAGAAGACAACAACAACAACAACAGAAAACAGCACCAAGTGGACAGCCTCAGCAGAGACGAAAATAAAGGTTTAGTAAAAGACCCTTCAGAGACAGATGCCAAACCAAAGAGAGAGAGAGACAGAGAGAAGACAGAGGAGAGAGAGAGAGAGAGACTAAATTGTAATGGACAGGTTATGGGCACCTGTTGGAATGATATACAAAAGTTTCACCAAGCCAGTTTGTTTCAGGACCAGGCGCAGTTGGCATACTGTCTCTGAGAATGTATTCTTTAGGCGCTCTTTATTTTTGAAACCCAGCTTTAAACTAAGGAACCCTTTCACTTCCCTTTTGTTCTATTCTCACAGTTTAACATAAACTTGCTAGTTTTCTTTCATGGTTCTTACTATTCCCCAGCAATATTAGACATTGATTTAATGAAGCTTTCTCTTTCGAGTTCATTGATATAAAAAAGTAAAGGCATTGCTATTCTATTCCACTTGTAAAAGAAGCAAAGATAAGGAGAAGGTTTGATTTGGGGATGGGACTGGAGTTTAGACAAGGGCATTAACAAAGAGGTTAAGTGTTATTCCCAACGTTAACTAAGTGGCTTTTTTTAAAAAACCCCTTTGGCTGCATTTATACACAATACTGCCATGTATAAACTAAGAGGTTTCAGTGATGTTGGCCAAGCATAAAAAGACAAATATGCATTTTACTAAACTACCTCAGGCATTTAATACCTCAAATAAGAAATTATTCCTTTTTTGCTTTTTTTTTTTTTTTTTGCTTTTTTTGTATTTTGTATACTTTATAAAGCTAATAGTTTTTGAGCATTTTATTTTTTTAAAAAATGATAAATTTGATCAGCCAACAAGGTAGGAGTGCTACAAAATTTATTGAGATGGAACAAATGTTGTGAGTGACTTCTGTTGGCTGACAGGAGTGAGATGGAAAAAAATTAGTTTCAGATTATATATGAGGGTGTCAACACAATCATTTTTTGGGGGGTGGGTAGGGAATCCATGAATGTTCTGATTAACCTAAACAAATGCCAATATACTCATTGCAGCAATGCCATTATTTTTCTGTTAAGATGGGATGAAAAAAATTGATGGTACGTTATTGGGAACAGAACAAGGAAGTGATGGCAAGAGGCTGGGACTTCTGGGTAAATGCTAAGAAGTCTGTTAGAACTGGACGTTTTTTTTCTTGTATTACTTGATTGAATGCATGAACCCTTTGTGCCTTTGACCATCACTCTCTGCCTACTAATACTAAAATATTTGCAGCCTATTTGTATGTTCTGTATCAAAGAGCAAGCTTCATCTTGAGTTTGGTAATGTGCTTGATCAGTTAGCAGTTTGGAGGCATGGGTTCTCTGCTTTCCAGCAATTGCTTCGTACTCTTTTCAGTTATTGTATTGGGTGTTGGGTGAGGGAGGTGAGATCAACATTGTTTGATGATCCCATTTAAAGGTAATGAAAGGCTAAGTTTACATATCCTCTATTAAAGGCCACACTAAGCCACTTCGAAGGGTTTTTTTAAAAATAAAAATAAATTCATACAACCTCAAGCTTGGCTTATAAACAAGATACAGCAGCATTTATGCACATTCTGCAACAACCACAAACTAAAAACGAACTAAAAAGCAGGGATCACAGAAAAAAAATTTTTTTTTCTTTAATTTCAGAATGTAATTTGAATTGTGATTGTGGTAATATGCATTCAAGTTTCTACACAAACTTCAGTCTACCTCAGTTTAACAATGTGGCAACAAATGGTGCATAAAGACTGCTGTGTGTGTGCATGCCTCCCTGGGTGCACGAGCCATGCTATTACCTCGGACCCTTTTGTTTGTAATGTTTCTGTTCATGAGAAGATTGGGACTGCTATGCTGCACTGTTTGGAGGGGCACAATTAGCAAAAACAGTTTGTTTCACCATTTTGTTGATCTACCTCTTAGATTGATAAGAAAATAGAGGCATTTCTACATAGAATAGATCATTTGCCCAAAGATTATGGTTATACAGATTAGATAATTTTTTTGGGGGGGGGAAGTTTCTCTTATTTTACTGCATTTTTCTTTACTAATTGGCTTAAAAATACAAGTATATGTAGTAGTTTAGCAGAAAAAAAGAAAAACAAGTTTCTTGGGGGCTTGGAAGGGGGAACAATACTTTACCTAAACTTTAGGATATTTTTTTTCTTATAATGAACTTTTACAATTACTGAAGTAAGAAGATGGACATAATGTTTTTTAAAAATCTGAGTTCAATATTATTAATTTTGGCAAAGATTGATGATTGTTTTCCTTAATAGCTTTATTTTACAAAATAAGTGCTACTTTACATCTGCTGACATAAATATTGTCATTTTTCTTTAAATTTGTAGATTTTAGTGTGATAAAATCATGTCTTTTAGTTTCAGTTGAGATATGACAATATGAAGTATTTCATATAGCTAGGAAGTGAAATTTTAAATGATTTCAGTGTTCAATAAAGTATTGATCATTTCTTCTCTGTAATGTGCCCCCTATGCAGCTTCACTTGCCAGATGCCTCTGAATGGAATAAAGAGTTTAACTCCTACTATCAGATAAATGTGTCTTTGTTTTATTTGGTAAGAGAAAGAGGTTAAAGAAACTGAAAGAATGGAGGAGATCTTAAAAGCTTATGTCCATTTTTTAAAAATGTATTGATTGATTCATGGGGCTGAAATGGAAATCCTTGCCAGAACAGAATAATTAACACGGCAGTTCACACTGGTAGTTCAGATATATTGCATATTTAGTCTTATTTATAAGCTGCCCAGAGAAGAAGCTGTACTAACACTATGATTCTAAATACATACAACTGCACGATTCTGAAGTTTGCTTCATCAAGAATAGAATGAACTGAAACTGATAATGTCATAAGTGAACTCAAATGACTCAATATTCATATTGTAAAATTGTGGTATCAATTTACCTTCATGCCCAAAGACTTAATTTGGAAAATTTTAATACTGATATGAGTTCTCTTACACTTTCCTATCATTAGAGGAGACTGGCAGGCTGCTTTGTGTGCACCTGTGAGCATAACTCTTACCAAACACGTAAATAGTATTGAAGTTTTGTTGAGTAAACCTTGTGGGTTTAATAACTTGCAGTGATAATAAAACAGAATTTGAGCAATTTGTTCGATCTGCTTAAGTCAGGGTGTCAAATTTTATTTCATTGAGGACCGCATTAGGGTTGTGTTTGACCTCAAGGGGCCAGGGGTGGTCGTGGCCAGCTCGATGTCACTTGTGTTGAGGGTGCTTGTGGTGGCCGGAGCACTCTGCCAGCAAAAAAAACAGGCTACTGAGCTCTATTTTCAGCTGCAACTGCATTCTGCAACTCTCTGCCAGCAAAAAAGAAAGCCGTCCACGGCCCTCCTGAGGTCTCTTTTCTCTGACAGAGGCATCATGGCCGGTCCTTTGTTGCCAGGACAGCCTTGCTGGCTAGATCTAAGCACTCCCCGGGCCTTGCGTTTGACCCCCCTGGCTTAAGCAGTTGGTTGTAAAATTAGCCTGAGGTGGTTCTTTTTTCTTTCTAGAATGAAAAGAGAAAAGATTCTAACAATTTTTAATTCAGTCGAGTATTATCAAAATTGGGTTTTATTTCTCTTCAATTCTTCTTTATTCCATCACACAAATTTTGAGACTTTAATAAACCTGTTTTGTATATCCAGTAAAGCATCCTTTTCCCCAATTTATTCTCTTGGTCTGTCATTTGTAGTTCCATATTTTATATTTCCTTTTTCAGATAAAATTTGTTACATTTCTTTCATTCCTACATTGCCATAGTTTAGGCATAGTTTATCCATAGAAGCAGACATCACTACTGACAGTTTATATTGTAATTACTAAATTCTGATTCTGATCATTTTTCAAAAATACTTAATAATTTGACTATTTTGTAAGTTACAGCATTGATTAACATTAAGTCTTTTTTCTTCTCCCTACCTGGCTAGAAGGTAGCTTCATTTGATTTAGTATATTTGTCTGCTTTTATTTCAATCATAAACCAGTATAAAAGATATTTCTCCCCCCCCAAAAAACACAAATAAGTACAATATAGTATCAATGGGATAAATTATTGGCATAGAATTAAAAAATACTAGAGAAAAAATAAAAATATAGTAAAAATGTCATAAGTAGTTAAGATAACTGATTATAAATACATAAACATACTAATTATAATTTAAAAGGCTAATTTGTAAGGTCTCAATAGCTGTTTTAACTAGGATTTGATTGGGATTATTTCAACTATAATCCAACCAACTAGAAACAATATAAAACAGACATTTCTTATTTAACGACTGCCTTATTTAGTGACCATTCACAGTTGTGACCAGTTATGATAAGCAGGTCCGTGAAACAAAGGAATGAAAAAGTAAGATTATAAGCACACTTGCAGTTTCAATTAGCAACGTTTTGCTGAGTTGCCAGTCCGAATTGTTGCTAAAGGACTACTTTTTTTAGAAAGAAAGAAAAAAATGAGAGATACCGAGTCTGGTAACTTCGGGTTCAAGAGTCATTTGCATACAATCATAGCTTGGATTCTGAACTGGGGAACATTGTCTGAAACCCTCATGCTTTGGTCTCCTAGCAGCAGATAGAATAATCAGTCTCTGTCTCATGAGTATTGTTTTATGAAGGGGAAAATACATCTACCTTGGAGGGCTCTTTAAAATGGTAGCATAACCACAAGTCCCAAAGCTTCAATTTCCCCCTATTCACAAGGACAGAATTGCTTAGGTATTGCAACAGAGTCTTCCCTCCAAAATGGTGGGAGGGCATTACAATAGGTGAATGTAAGAGCTCTTCTAATGTTTTTTAGGAGTGATACTAATGGGTAAATGCACTATTTTTTTCTGCATTGAGTGAAATAATAAATGGTAGCATGTGGATGAGATTGCTTTCCAGGCAATAACTGCCCCCCACCCACCCCCTGCGGAAAGTGCTTTGGCCTGAACAAATCTCCTTGGAAATCCATACATGAGGGAAACCGCACAATTCTTTATGACAACATTAAACTCTTTCTACAAGGAAGTCTGAAATTTGTCTTGAAGAGTTAATTTTTAAAAAAAAAAGGGGGGGGGGAGGCAGCCAGATACATTTGATTAAAGATTAACTTGATCCAGGAGCTAAAGAGCTACTTTGTATAGATTTAAATTGGGGTTATTCCTGCTTCAGCCTAAAAGATTGGGTTAGAAACACAATAAAAACCAAAAACAAGTTCCTTAAGAAGCTTGACTGAAAAACTTCGAATGGTTTTAAATTGTATGCACACATTTGAAAGTCATAAAATGGTTGTGATATTATTTTGAAATCAGAACACTTTTAGTCAGGGTATATAATTACTTTCTATGCAAACACAACACCAGCCCAAACAAAACCAGATGGTAAATATATCTCTGACCTCTTGGTGATTGAATTTGGGGCCTCCATAAGCCAGTGGCAAGAAAAACAATTCCTAAATATCAAGGGCTTGAATTTGTTCGACATTATCCCTAAAGGTACTCTTCATTCCATCCGTCCAAGATTGTTGGGGGCAATATGCTGACTTTATAAACCACTTAAGGACAGTGAAGCAGTATAGAAGTCCTATTGCTATCTTATTTGTTGTGATGGTGCTGAACCAGGGAGACTTACAATACGCCCACTTATATTACATAATGTAAGAGTAACCCAATAGTCTACCAGTTAGGTTTGGATGGAGATTTTCTAATTAAAATCCTGTTGCCATGGCATTGATGCAAAAATTAAAATGAAAGGAGGTGGAATACAACTTTGCTTTACACCTTGCAAATAATTATTCTATTGCATGAACACAGCCTATGAATTAATGCAGAGGATTTTCTGCTGCTTAGTATATGAACGTTGCCAACAGCCACAAAAGATTAAGCTTTTTTAGTGTGGGTTGATTGGACAGTTGCATGCAAATGAAGGTCCGAAACATTCACTCCAGGGAAAGGTCTAAAAATAATTTCCTATCAGATTAGGTTTCATATAATTGAATTATAATTTCATATAATTCAAAATTTAGGGTCAATTTAAATGCTTCTTTATATTACAGAACAACAGTTGGAAGGGACTTGGAAGTCATTTAGTCTAACCCCCTACCCAGGCTAGAAAAATTACACCATTTCAGACAAATGGTTCTCCAATTTCTTAAAAACTTCCAGGATTGGAGCATGCACTTCTGAGGCAAGTTGTTCCACTGATTATTTGTTCTGTCAGGAAATTTTACCTTAGTTCTAGGTTGCCTCTCTCCTTGATTAGTTTCCATCTATTGCTTCTTGTCCTGCCTTCAGGTGCTTTGGAGAATAGCTTGACTCCCCTCTTCTTTGTGGCAGGCCCTTAGATATTAGAAAGCTGCTTTCATGTCACCCCTAGTCCTTCTTTTCATTAAACTAGATATAGCCATTTGTTGTAACCATTCTTCATGTTTTAGCCTCCAATATTCTAATCATCCTTGTTGCTTTTTTCTGTACTCTTTCCAGAGACACATATTTTTTATAGTATTGGAAGCAAAACTGGATGAAGTATTCCAAGTGTGTTCTTACCTAGGTATTATAAAGTGGAATTAAGACTTCACATGATTTTGATTCTATCTGTTAATGCAGTCTAGCACTGCATTGGCTTTTTTGGCAGCTGCAGCACACTGCTGCCTCATTTGTAAGTGACTGTTCACTAGAACTCCAAAATCCCTCTCATAGTTACTACTATTGAGCCAGGTACCACCTATACTATACCTGTGCCTTTGGTTTTTCTTGCATAAATTAAGAACATAAACATTTTCTGATAGCTCTTCAAAGAATTCTGCTGAAGCCCTATTTGATATTTGAATAGGAAAAAGAGGGAGGTGATTTTAAAACTCTTCTAAGTGCAATTTTCAACTTGATGGAATGGTATCCTATGGTCAACTGGGTTTAGGAAAAATAGAGATAATTTAGAAATCAACATCAATTTGCGTAAAATCTAGGTGATATTAATGCTATGGCAGCAGTTTACCCTCTACTCTCACTTCATCTTGCACCAAACTTTGCAAATGTTTTCTAGATGCTCTGAATACACTTACTTATATTGGAACTTACCAGATTTTATGGGGGTAACTAACAACGGACATTAGAAAGAATACACCAAAATAAAGTTGAGATTAATTTTAAAAATATTTCAAAACATCTTTATTTAACTTAACTGATGACATAAATAGCAACCAATCAATGTCAAAACAAGCCCCTATTCAAAAGACCTAAATGTCAATAGGAATTATTTCAAATAACTATTATCCACGTTTAAAGCTTTTGCCTTTGCAACAAGAGCCAGTGTCTTTTCTACAGGGCATTACTGACTTCCCATTGACAAGTTCTATACAGGTAATCTTCTATTTAATGACCACAACTGAGCCTGAAACTTCTGTTGCTAAGCAAAACATCAAGCAAATTGCCCCCATTTTATGATCTTTTTTGTCACAGATGTTAAATGAATCCATTCAGTCAAATTAGTAACATCGTTGATAAATGAATCTGATTCCCAACTGACTTTGCTTGTCAGAAGATTGTAAAAGATGATCACATGGTCCTGGGACAGTGCAACCAGCAAACAGGAACCAATTGCCCCACATTCAAATTGTGTTCATGTCACCCTGGGGATGCTGCAACAGTTATTCTAATCACTTTTTAAAGTGCCATTGTAACTTTGAATGGTCACAAAATAAATGGTGGTAAGTCGAGGACTACCTGTACTTATCAATACTACCTAATGCTGACACTTGGTAGTTGCAGGTTGATGTGCTCCATTTCGCCTTTTTCTTCCCAAGAATTGGCTCAGTAACTCAGTTGACCAAAGTTCTTTCTGATCCTTAGATGTGAGGTTAAATCACTCCTGTTTAGAATCTAGCCCAAACATAAAGTCATCAGGTAAAGATTCTGGAATCATCTGTGTCAACTGATCATCATGAGAGCGGAGCGTCCACAGCTTTTCCAATTCGTAGGTTTCTCGTGTCTCTGGCAACATGAAATGGACTACAATGTTGCCTGCAAGAGGATGGAACAGCACAACTTTAATAAGATTAATAAGACTTTAATAAGATTTGTATGCCGCCCACTCCCTTGGGACAGTAAGTAAAGAATGAGATTAGTAAAGTCTTCTGACTCACCTCGGGTTAAATGCCTTCCATAATGTGGCATTCCATGTAA